TAGCTAAGCTAGCCCATTTGCTTTTGCTTGGGTTTTCCGGTTGGGCTAGGAAGGCCTTGGCCCACGAAATAAATACAAATGGCCCAATGGCCTGTTATGCCAAGAAGCCTGATAATGAAATTTCATTCCAGTCCCCTGACTTTCGAGTGTTTTCACTATGGCCCCAAAAACTTTCAGTTTCATTCAATTGGGTCCTTACTTTAATTGCAAATGAGTCCTTGAACTTTATTTTTCTTTAATTTTGGCCCCAAACTTTTGTCAATCTTTGCAATCAGGTCCTTTCTTCTCTTGACTTCTTAAATGTGGGTTGTTGACATGATTTAATTGATTCAAATTCATGTTTATTTTTATCCTTTGTGATTATTTGTCAAATAAATTGGTGCCTTGACCCTTTTTATTGTTTTGAAGCTAATATCTCATTTACTCGATTTCCATTGCAAGGGAGGTAACTTCTATATTCTTGCGTTATTTTTCCTACGTGCTCCAACGTGCTAAGTGAAATACATGTCTACTTTGCTTTTCTAGCCTTTCTTTAATTTCTTTTATTTATGTCATTTACTTTTGCTTTTTTTATTTAAGTTATTCATTATGGGGTATGTGTACACTTCTTGGCTTGTAATAGATAGGGCTTGGCGAGCAATTTGGTCCATTTCCCCTTCCCCCTTTTGAAGTCTTATTATGGGGTATGTGTACACCTCTTGGCTTGTAATAGATAGGGCTTGGAGGCGCATTCGATGAGGACCTATCGAAGACGTGTGCCTAGCTAGCAAATGTAATAGTTGGGGCTTTAATTGCCTTATGTGTCTTGCATGCTTAGTTGCTACGTGTTAATTTGCTTTGTTAGGGCCTTGCATCTAGTCGAGCATGCTAAATGCTATGTGCTATGTGTTTACGAGTGTTTGGCATGTCTACTCGCTTTCCATAACCATGAATGAATGTGATGGATGAATGTACGTTTCCGCTAGTCCAACGCTAGTCGGAATTCATAGATGGGCTAGTCCAACGCTAGACCCTTAGGATTTCCCTTTCGATAGTGCATATTTGCATGTTCACTACATGTCATGCATTTTTCTTAGTTTTATCATTTGGCATGCTCCTCGAACCCCTTTTCCCCTCATTTTAGGATTTTTGCATCTCATACTAGTTATAGGGTTCATTTGCCTGGAGAGTCCCCTTCTGATAAGGGAAACGAGCGAGTGTGGCTACTCGATAGCCTTAGCACGCTAGTTTTGCTTTCTAATCAAAGGGAAAATCGAAGTCGAAAAGTTAGGAGTCATTCCCATACCCGACCTGATGCATTCCCTTAGGATCATTCATTCTCATTTACCACTTACTCATTCTTTTCAATTCATATTTTCCTTTCCTTATTGTTCATTTTGATTTCTACTTCACAAAATTGCACTGAATTACACCTATATGCACTTATCACTATATTTCATACACTTGCACACAAACACTTGGATTTTTCATACAATTTCACACGTGCACTTTTTCATACACTTGCACACAAACACTTGGATTTTTCATACAATTTCACACGTGCACCTTTTTATACAATCGCACACTTGCACTTTAGCCATCATTTGCATTAATCGACCTCTATAAGGTTTTCCTTTATTGGCCGCCACAACTCATGTGGTTGGGACCAAAAACCTTACAAGAGACATTTTAGAATTTAGGTTTGCATTTTGCATTCATCTAGTCAAATCCAACATGCGATACATACCTTGGGTAGAAAAATTAGGAAAATTGGTTTAAGTCACGCAACTAGCCTTGGCTAGGTCGAAGGGGTGCCTTGGATTTTTATCCTTGCCTTCCCCTTCGTCAAATGTGACCCCCGATCCCTCTTTTGGTTACGTAGACCCAAAAGTTCTCTAAAAGGGTTTATTTACTTTTTCATTCAAAAACAAAAATCATTTTTTGGGTGACTTGGTACACCCTAACTCTATACCAAGTGGCGACTCCATTTTGATACAAAAACCCTTTTGAACTTTATATGGCCAAACCGTCGCATTATCAAGTCCCATGGCCTGTATTTTTCTTTCCACACTTTCACACTATTCACACACCTTCACACAACACACACCGTCAAAAAGTGGGGCGCGACACTTAATTGCATGCCTTTTGAATGTTTTCATTTTATTTATTTATCCGCTTTAGTCGTCTTAATTTCGTATATTTATTTTAGTTCATTTTTTATTATTTGAAAGGCATTTAAATGCCAAGTTGTAATAGTTAGGTTTATTTTATTTTATTTTTATTTTTCCCCATTAGATTGTAGTAGGGCCCCCTCAAATGTAATAGCTAGGGTTTTATTCGCTTTCTTTTCGCTTGTGTGATTTGCATGCTTACGTGCTATGTGTTACCGCTTTCTTAGGGCCTTGCATCTAGATATCATGATTATGTGTTATGTGTTTATGTGGCATTATGTGTTTACTCGCTTTATTATGCTTTTATGAGGTTATAATTAATGTGTGACGTTATCACAATAGTCCAACGCTAGTTGTGATCCTTTTTTCGATACCACACTAGTCCAACGCTAGTTGTGGTTTTCCTTGTTTGATTTCCCACTAGTCCAACGCTAGTGAGAAAGTAGAAATATGGGCTAGTCCAACGCTAGACCCTTAGGAGCCCTTCGCGCGTTAGATCATGATTGTATGATAAAATCACTTCATTTCATGCATATTTTTCCACTTTCTAGGGCCTTTTATCATTTTGTATGATATTCCCCTTATACGTATATCCCTTATCCCTAATTTCCCTATATATATACCCCTATGTATGATACATAACATTAGACTTGCATTTCATTTTAGAATTAGGATTAGGGTAGTGCATTTGCTTGATTAGATTAGGGAAACCCCTTGAGTATGGGATATGGACGAGTTTGGCTTTTCTAGCCTTAGCACGCTCGTATTCCCTCTATTAAAGGGAAAATTGAGTCACGAATATTAGTCCCCCGTACCTGACATGTTGCATTCCTTTAAGACATGCATATCTCTATAATTATTTTATCTCTTTTCTTTTCTTAGAGTCTCATATTTTCTGCACTATTCGTGACCTCTCCAAAGAGTCATTATTGGGCATCACAATTAATGTGATTGGCACCATTCAAGCTTTGAAGAGAAATTTTGCCCCCCGACACCCCCTAGGTCTAGGGTTTGCATCCATATAGTACATCCAAATGTGATAAATTTTTAGGATAAAACAAGAAAATCTTTGACTAAATCACGCAACTAGCCTTGGTTAGGTCGAAGGGGTGCCTTGAATTTTTATCTTTGCCTTCCCCTTCGTCAAATAGGACTCCCGAACCTTTTTCGTTGGTTTACGTAGACTAGGAGTCGTTTAAAAGGGGTTTCTTTCTACCTTTTCCTTTAAAAAATTCATTTTTAGGTGACTTGGTACACCTTAACTCTATACCAAGTGGCGACTCCGATGTTTATTTCAAAAACCCTTTTTAAACTATATTTTGGGTCAAATCGTCGCATTTTCGAGTCCCATTTAGACCCATATTTTTCTTCATTTTCTTTGTAAATCAAAATTCATTTTTCAAATCAAAAATTCACTTTTTTAAAACCATTTATTTATTTTTCTTATAAAAAATGGGGCGCGACAAACGTGAAAGGCCATGATTTTACCCCTATATGTTTGGTACCTCATTGAGCGTAAACTCACCCCTTTCTGTTGCCTTTGTTTTCCTTACAGGGGACAAACTTGGAAATCACGATTTTGGAAGAAAATGGTCAAGCTAGTATATATGTCATGTGGTTAAACTCTTTTGAAAACGAAACCCTAATTGTATTTTGTGTAATATGAGTACCTTGGATCGCACTTTATGTTAATTTGTTCAAGACTTCAATGTAAATATATGTATAAGTGTTTAACCTTGTCTATTAAATGTATTTCGTTGAGACTATAATTCTATGGTTTAGTAGGCATGTTCTCACCTTAGTAGTTTCCAATTGTTCATTTTCTTTGGGTTCTATCGCGCGTACTACGTTGGGTTTGTGTGAATCGACTCCGTAGTCCTGGCGAGAGTTGGGCAGGCGGTCCGCCGAACCCTTTGGTTCGCCTTAGGGTGAGGTGGGGCTGTCACAGTTAACCTTGTCAAGTTGATCAACTTCTGTTTTCCCATTGAATAGAGACTGCTTTGCTGAGCCAGATAAAAGATTTTAATTATCTCAACTAAAAAATACAATAGTGCATAAAACTACGCTCACCTGTGCCACAAAGTAACCACCAAGTTAGTATATGGTTTCAAAGGGCTTCCATATTGACATGCTAATCCAAAGTCACAGATCTTCAACTTACCACAGTTATTTAAAAGTATATTTGATGTCTTTAAATCTCTGTGCAAAACCCAGTTATCGTGAATATACTTAACACCCACAAGAAATGCACAAGGCTTAGGGAATTAACTTCATTCTAGCTAAACGGTTGTTTCATTATCTCTATTAACCCCTTTAGATCATTTGGTGACAGTTTCAGTTCCCAAATACGAATAGTTTAGACAATTGGACATGTAAGTTTGAAAACTATGTTAACTGTGTGTGTGTTAATTGTTGGATATTGCTCTTATGTTAATTGTGATTTAGCATTTATATCTTATTCTGTGCATAGGTGTGTGTGTCTTCTATATACATATATTTATTTATTTATTTATTTATTGAATCGGGGTTGAATCGGTCTGACTGGTTGAATCTTGACCCTTTCACTTCACCGGTTCAATTGACGGTCCGGGTTTTAAAACATTGGTGAGATCCGCTATATCAAGTTCCGGACCTATATTTAGGATTTGACCCACCCATGCTTAAGTAGTAACTAGTAATTAGTAATGGTCTCTAACCAAGTAAAAGTCCAAGGCCCAAGGCCCCAGGCAGTCAAAAATTAGAAAAAGATTAGGATTAAAAAGCATGGGTGGGTCAAATCGTAAATATAGGTCCGAAACTTGATATAGCGGATCTCACTTGTACGCGGCTACATTATTAACTTTCCCTGTCCTCGCCGCTAGGTGAAGACACAGTTCTCCTAGCTGAACCGCAACGCAGCATCTTCCGGCGACAGCCAACGACGAGGATATATTTCTCTACCTCTTTATCCGGTAAGGTTACTTCATTTTATCTCTCTCTTCTCACCTTTTATTTACTTATTTACTTTTAATCTCACAAATTTCAATCTCTTGTATACATCTTTTTTTTTTGCTATAATTCTTAGAATTGATTGTGCATTTCTATTTTTACATTTGTCTACGATTTTTTAAACTTTTTTTTCAAAACTTTGGGCTGGATCTACTGGTATATAGTTACTGCTAATTAATTTTTGGTAGCTTTCTGCTGGACTTTGGGTTTAGGGTTTTGCGTAGGGAGCATAGCAGGAAATAGCAATAGCAATGAGTCGTAGCTTAGGTATACCGGTGAAGCTTCCACACGAAGCCACAGGACACATCGTGACCGTAGAGCTGAAGAGCGGAGAGCTTTATAGAGGCAGCATGGTTGAATACGAAGACAATTGGAATTTCCAGCTCGAGAACATCACTTTCACAGCTAAGGTACTCTCGTTCCAATGTTATTCTGCCCTTCATTAATGTGACGACCCCACCTCCCCCCAAGGCGTACCAAAGGGTTCGGCGAGTCGCCTGCCCAACTCTCGCCAGGACTCACTCACTCGTATCACGTGCATACATCCATCGACAATAAATAACATCGCAATTCACACTTACAATTTACATCGATGCATATTCAAAATACAAAACCTCTATATACCCCAAACGGGTTCAAAGTGTATACAATCCAAGTACAATCATCCTAATCGAGTGATAGTGCGAGTACAAGTCAAAAGTTAAAAACAACTAGACTACGCTAGTCTTTACATATCTCACGCCTCGCTCGTACCCCTGTAAAGAAAACAAAACTAACGGAGTATGCCAAAACTCAGTGACGTTCCAAATTTCAAATTGGACATCAGATAAAGTAATAACAGCGTGATAGAGAAATAGCGAGCAAACAAGTCGAATCAGAGAAATAACACTTCAAATAGTCAAGAAATATCTGGTTCACATTCACATGTAAGGATATAGTGGCTCATATCTCGGCTCCATCACAGCTCGATCGATTGGTAGTTGACACTCCGTCAACTTTCAAGTAATGAACTAGTCCAGAAAAACCCCACTTCACGCCAGTCTTTGTCCACCGATCAACCCCCTTACCGAGCCTGCACGTCATGCGAAACACGGGTGGTATTACTCGAGTATACCGATTAACCGAGGAGATAACACTCCACTCGACATCACTAATTACCCAGGGTTCGTTATCTAATCGACCTGGCCCTTGCCGGCTCAACTCGATTAATTAGCCACAGGGTTTCTGGAATTCCAGGCAAGATATAATTCACACGCATGTAGAGCAAGACAATTGAATTCGATGAACAAGAACAAATCTCGTTAGGGCAAGTGCGATAAAGTACACCCTTGCCCTATCAAATCACTTATATATATCATGTAATCACATTGGTCAAAGATAAATCACAAATATCAAGTTCAATCAGATATTTGGAAGCACTCACCAAAAGTTGTGCCTCTAGTGATCGCGTCGGGATTGTACTCCGGGTTTGGAGTCCAAATCTGCGATAAAACTTGACTTAAGAACTTTGAAAATCGACTAAGGTTCGAAACTTAGACGTTTCGTTCAATAAGAATCAAGAAATTGAAATTCACTTGAAGAGTAGTCGTGAAACACTTGCTCACTTTTTAAACTACAAAACTTTGTAACATTTATATTTGGAAATGCCATTTGAGTAGAAAGTACAAGAAAAACATACTCCGAGCAGTCATTATTTTATTTCTCAAGGGAACAAGTTCGGCCAAGTCCTTACTTATATACCTCGGTAAAAGAAGACGCAAATATCCTAGATGGCTCAAGCAGTAGTCACTCTTAACCCTTACTCAAGTTACAAATATGTCTACCTAGCCCTCGAGCGTAAATTTGGGCAGCACGCCCTTTGTATTTTCCTATTTCCAGCCATTTATGGCTTCATTCTTTTCCTCAGTCAAATCCAAAGTTACACATAAAAAAAACTCATTTCAATAGCCGTTCAATAGGCTCAAGGTAATACAAGTACAAAAATCAAGCTAACGACATGTGCGGAAATGAAGTCTAGCGAAAGACAGATTTGACGTGGTTTTGCGTAACGGACACAACTGAGGCTACGCTTATCGGATTGAGGTGTAACTTATACCGTTTCGAAGCTAAGACAAAGGGTTACAATTTTGATGAAGATCACTTAGTCCAATTTCTAGTGTAACCCATTCAAATTCCCAATTCACAGAGCCAATCTCCTACTGGTAGACCAGTTAACCACACTATCTTAAAATGGCCATATCGCAAGCTACCAAAGTCCGTTTAAGACGTTCTCAGAGGCGTTGAAAAGCTAAGACAAAGTAATAAAACTTTCATGTTTTGGCTAAAAGCTAGTTCAGTACGTATCTAGGTGAACAAACGCAACCAACTTAGTGTACTGTCAAAACTGTCCGCTGATTTTACTCCTAGGGCAGTCAGGGTATTTTCATCTTTTCATAGGCTACGTTACTCCGATTGAGCTGAACTTTTGTAGGCAACCATAAAATGTCATTCTATACAAATTTCATGTTTTGTGCTAAGCCTAATTCGGCTTCTAACATGATGAAATGGAATCGGGTAGAACTAGAACTACAATTTCCAGAAATCTGGAATTTTGCTATATTCAAGTTATAATTCACATTTTTACCTTGAAACTACCACTACCATCTCCTTTACAAGATTATATACCAGATGTATACATCATACAACACCTAACCCACAAGAAACCCTAACTCAAAAGTCATCCATATAATCATCAAAATCACTTGGAACAAGCATCACAAGCACAATACTAACATTAATACCCAACTTAATCATGATTAATGGAGAAAGAAAGGTTGATTAGCCATTATACCTCAAGACAAGAGCTTGCAAGAATGATCCTTCACCTCTCCTTGAAATTTTTGGTTCTTTAAGCTTCCCAAGCTTCCAAACTAGTGATTAATCGGTTTAGTTTTTCTTGTTTGCACTCAAAAGGTTGGATTCAAGGTAGAAGATTGAAAACTCTCCTCACTCTTTTGCCTCTCCTTGCTCTCAGCCAAAACAGAAAGAAAATGAGGGAAATGAGCTGAAATGAGAGATAAGAAGGCAAGACAAAAGGGTTGGTCAAGGGACCATAGATGACCAACACTTGTCACCACCAAAACCATCCAAATTTTACTTTCTTTTCCTTGCATTTTGGCCCACATATTTCGGCTATATGGCTGAGGATGAGAGAGATATTTTTAAAAAATATCAAGGGTATGTGGTGGTAGAGAAGTGGTGGTCAAGTGGTGGGTTCAATCGATAATGATCGATACCCGTCGGTTTGAGCCGTTTTTTCTTAAATCACGTATACTAGGGTTTTTACCTTCTAATCACTAACTTATTATTATCACTTCAAATCATATAATATTTCCTCATCCAAAAGTCACTCTTACCTACCAAATTTGATCCTCAGTCCGTACCGAATAGTCACACTACGGAAAAATGTGAAAACCCTAATTCGCTCTATCTTGAAAACGGACAACGAAACCCTTACTTCTATATTCATTTACACTTATTGTAGGGTGATTGGGTAGTAGGGCCATAATAAATGAATAATTCCCAAATAAAAGGGCATTTTTAAGAAAAATATAAGGAATTTGCAAGTCTTCACACTCTCTCCCCCTTAAAAGAATTTCGACCTCGAAATTCATATCTTTCGTCGTGAACAGGTCGGGATATTTCTCTTGCATGTCCTTTTATAGCTCCCAGGTTGCTTCTTCCACTTCATGATGCTTCCATAGAACCTTTACTAATGGAATCTGCTGGTTTCTCAGATCATTCACCTTCCGATCCAATATTTGAATGGGTCGTTCTTCATAGGTTAAAGATTCATCGAGTTCAATATCTTCTGGTGGCAAAATGTGAGTCGGATCCGGATGATATTTCTTAAGCAAAGAAACATGGAAAACATCATGGATCCGAGACAAACTAGCTGGTAACTCAAGTCGATAAGCCACCTTTCCTATTCGCTGGAGTATATTGAAAGGTCTTATGTATCGTGGTTGCAACTTTTTCCCTTTTCCTGCTCTAATCTTTCCTTCAACGGGGTAATTCGAAGAAACACCTTATCTCCTATTTCAAATTCCAAATCCTTCCTCCGATGATCGGCATAACTTTTCTGTCGGCTTTGGGCTATTTGAAGTTTCTGGCGGATCACCTTTACCCTTTCGTAGGCTTTCTCAACCCATGGTATTGTAGCCAGATCTATAATCTTTCTCTCTCCTACTTCATCCCAATGGATTGGAGATCGACACCGTCGTCCATACAAGGCTTCATATGGGGCCATCTGAATAGAGGAATGATAGCTATTGTTATATGCAAATTCAACCAAGGTTAAGTATTGACTCCAACTTCCTCCAAAATCCACAATACAGGCTCTCAACATATCTTCAAGAGTTTGAATGGTTCTCTCAGATTGTCCATCAATTTGTGGGTGATACACTGTACTATAGTTCAATTTAGTTCCTAGAGCCTCTTGCAATTTCTGCCAGAATCGAGATACAAACCTAGGGTCTCTATCAGATACAATACTCACTGGTACCCCATGTAGTCTCACCACTTCATCCATATAAAGTTTGGCAAGTTTCTCCAAAGAATATTTCATATTTACTGGCAGGAAATGTGCGGTCTTAGTTAATCGGTCCACTATTACCCATATCGCATCATGCCCCTTTTGTATTCGTGGCAACCCTGATACAAAATCGATTGTTATGTGCTCCCATTTCCATTCAGGGATCTCTAATGGCTGTAACAGACCTGACGGTTTTTTATGCTCAGCTTTCATCTGTTGGCACGTAAGACACTTTTGTACAAATTGGGCAATCTCCGCCTTCATATTATCCCACCAATACAGACTTTTGAGATCTTGGTACATCTTATTACTCCCTGGGTACCTAGAGCGGTAAGATTCTTCCAAAATCTCCCTCTTTAACTCCTCATCCCTAGGTACAACGACACGATTTCGGAACTTTAAGATTCCATCAGGACCTAGGTTAAAGTTAGGCAACTCCCCTTTCTTCACTTTTTCCACCCACTTTTGCACCATTGGGTCCTTTACTTGGCCATCTTTAATCCGATCCAACAGTGTCGACTTCACCTCAATATTTCCAAAAATCACCTTTTTCGGTTCCAGACGAGGTTTCCACTCACATACATCTTCTAACAAGCTCCACTCTCCCACCATGGAACTTGCTAGTTGAGCCTTTCGACTTAAAGCATCTGCTACAACGTTGGCCTTTCCGGGATGATAGTTAATCGTACAATCATAATCTTCTAAGAACTCCACCCACCGACGTTGTCTTAGATTTATCTCCTTCTGAGAAAACAGATACTTAAGACTTTTGTGATCCCAATATACCTCGAAAGTCACTCCATATAGATAATGTCGCCATTTTTTCAAGGCAAATAC